TTTGCGGCTTCTTCTTTTTGACATTTTGTCCGTGTAAGTTATAACACTCTCTTCTAAAAATTAAATGTGTGGAATTTAATTTACTTCCTACGAACTTCAAATGCAGCTGAGATGTCGGAAATAGACTATGTCTAGAACGTGGTTCTGGGAGGTGGCTGGTGGGCCTCCCCGGGATTGTCTGGGCTCAAGAGTTTAGCTTTATCTAAAGTCGAATTGGGTACGCTGCCAAATGCCAATATGCGTTATGTGGAAAAGTGACACGTCAGATCTTTATATGTGTAACATTTTATGTAGCATCTATTTTTTGTGTGTGTATAAATATACAAATGACTGAGAAACCAAATCCAAAGATAGTTTTAAAAGATGGCTGTGGTTGTTTAAAACTTCACAGGCCGTGCAGACTTCACAGTGGAGCTTCCAGGGACCAGAATAAAACAAAAGGTTATATTGTTTCACCTGGAAAAACAACACATAATGACAACAAAGTTTCAGAGGCCAAATGAAAATAGGAGTGTGATATTTTACTTTCTAACTTGTTTCATTTTAAAATGTTCCTGCTTTCCATACTTTTTGGTGGAGACTTCATTTTTAAGTCTGTAGCCCCCAACTGCCTTTACATTACTAGAGAAAGGAAGGGAGGGTGATCACTAAGTTTTTTCTTGATGGAAAGCTGGCTGGTCCCCACCCCTAAAGTCTTTTTCTTCTGTGATTCAGTCACAGGTAAGTGAGATGAAGGATCCAGATTCCTCTTTGGACGAACCTGTCTGGAAAATGTGCCATTAATAAGGCATTTTGATAAACTAAATGAACTGACAGGACAGGATCACTTGAAATCAAACTTAAAAAAATGCATAATGTATATTTTTAAATGAGAGTTCTTAATAATGTAAGGCTTTAAAAAAAAAAAATTCTGAAAGAATTAAAAAAAACCCCTAAATTTGTGGCCCAAATGGCAAAATAGCCTGTGAATCATCACCTGCAGCTATCACGGGGACCACAAGGTGGCGGACCAACTCTATTAAAAAGGTGATGTTAAAACATTCCTGGCATGTATCAAAGCTGGTGTGGTTCTTGGAAATAAGTGGCCACATGTTGCGTAACTCATTCCTATGTTTCTAATTTTTATAGAATATAAAAATTGTATATCAAACTATCTTTTTATTACACAAACCATGGAGTGTGGAGCAAGGACAGAACCAGGAATGCAGAGAAAATTCCAAAGCTCACTGCAGAAGGGCGGTTCTTAGCCCCTTGTCTTCCAGACGGTTGGGAGCAGATCTAATGGCTCTGAGCTTCATCTCCTTGCCATCCGTTGTCCTCCCCTGTTAGAGGTGCTGGTTGATGATGAAATCTTGAGCTGGCGGTGTGGGGGAAGAGGCCTGGCTAGGTCATGAAGGCAGACCGGCCTGAACTAATTGAGTTTAACAAGCCCAGTGTTACCTGAGCTCTAACAGCTGACTGCTGCTTGTGGTTTCAATTTGAAGCTGCTCAGACAAGAGCAGTGGGAGGCTGTAGGCTTTTGGTGGGGTGAATCTGGTCGCCTTTCATAGCATAATGTGTGGGATACACACAGGTGCCCGATGTTTAGTTATGGAGTGGAGCGAGCATCCATTTCATGCCAGGCAGGTTTGTGGCTAAGCACTGAGTACACAGATGAAATCCCGCTATTCATTGGCTCACATCCTAGTGAGAAGAAACGAATGATAAATGAATAGATAAATGTCCAGTTCAGCTCTGGAAGCTGGAACCTTCATTACACACATGTGCCCTTGTGTGGGTGGAGAGACCCCATCTCCCGGGGGGGCGGATGGTCCCTGTCGCCTCATTCATGGCCTCTGCTGTAGCGATTCTATTAAGGCCGTCATGGAAGGTCCAGTGAACTCAGAGAGGGAGGGTTTGGGGCAGGTCAGCTCAGTGCTCCCCTTTGGGCTGCCTCTGGGTCTGGTTTCTTCTGCCCACCACTAGCTATTTGAGCTTTGTGAATCTCAAACATTGAGACAGGGAGCTAGAGACCAGGCTTGATGATCTCTAGCTTCCAAATCTGGACTCCAGGAAGCAAGGGGCCAGCTTGGCTTGGGAGACAAGTCATCCCGGGCACCAGAGAGCTCAGTTTACAGTGTGGTTTGTGCAGGTAAATACTGTCACTTATCGAGAGTGTGTAGGATTTCCTTACCATCATCCCTGTGGTTGCAGGGAATGGTTGGGTGAAAAGCTGGGGTGCATCTCAAATGCTGAGTCTGCACCCAGAGGGGCTTTCATTACATGATTGTCCAATTCCATGGGCTTTGATTTCTGGGGGATGGAGTCACTGTAGAAGAGCTTAGAGAGAGACCTACCTGAGGCCATGCATTTGGAAACACTATAGGGCAGCTTTTCAAAAGTGGAGCAATATTTCATTTTCTTATGTTTTTATGTATTTTAGGTGGAATATAGAAGTTTTCCAGGTTCCTCTCAGTCAGAGGTGAGCTATGAATACCTTAAATATACCACCATCTCCTCTTCATTTGTGGATATAAATGCTTTTTCCAGAATTTGACTCTTAGGATCTTGTTTTTCAGATTATACAAGCGATACAGAATTTAACCCGTCTCTTATACAGCCTCCAGGTAACTACGCTCCTCTAATTTTTGACCTTGTGAGTGTTTCTCTCAATGCAGTTCACTTTATTTGATGATTCCCAGACTTCAAAAATTAGAACATTCACGAGGTAGTGAATGATCTTAAAAGAGTGCCAGCCCCCCCGCACTCAGTGAGGCGTGCTGAGTTCACCTGGTTTTGTCATCACGAGGCGACACCACTAGTACATTTTATACCATTCTCTTCTGAAACCATAAAACAGTTCATATCTTTAAAAATATGGTGACTATGACCTGGCTTGAAGTTTACAGTGAGACTCTTAGGTGAGTGTAGCATGACTTCACATTTTCTGGTGAAAACTTAAATTCACACCTAAACCTTTTTCACTTCCACATGTTGGCCTTGGGCCTTCAGAGCAGTTAAACAGTTCACATGCTCCTTCATTCTTTTGGTTGTTCATCCACCCAACATTCACTGAGCACTCCCTGTGCCAGCCACCAGGCACAGGGCTGAGCACACAAAGGCGGAAGGATGCGCCATCTGCCCAGGAAGGACAGGCCTGCGTTTAGGGTTATAGGTTTGGATGGTTCCTTAGGCCGCACACAAGAAAGGCGGAAGGCATCTAATTGCTTAATTTGTGGATTTAAAAAATATTTAAAAGGATATAAAAGGAATGGTTCTATCGTAGACAAATTTATAGAATATTTTGAGTATACAAATAAAATAAAATAACTTGTGATTCTCTAGAGAGAATCATTATTGACATGTTGGCATATATCCCTCCTGTTTCTTAGAATCATTTTGCATGTAGTCTTACAACACGCACCTCTCTGTGTCATCAGCGATTATTCTGTAGCACAATGTATACCGGTTCTATGATGTTCCAGTCTGTGGAAAGTATTTATCCAGTTTCTCATAGTTAATGCTTTCGTATGAACTTTGTACACTAATTTCTTCAAACATATCTGAGCGTTTCTGTAGGATCAATTACCGGAACTTTTTTCTTTAGGTTTTTAGCAGACATTGCCAAAATAATAAAATCAACACCCCTCTACTTCTCAGTTTGAAAATGGGCCACGGTACCTGATTATCTTAGTTTTAACTTTTTGGGTTACTCTTACGATTAAACTTTTTTCCTACTAGTTTATCACTAGTCAGATGTCCTATCTTGTACCTGTTGAATATTAAAAGAAAATTAAGTCTGATTTTATGTTTTCACCAGAAAAAAAAGTAAAGTCAGGCTGCATTTTAAGCTTTCTTACTTGGACTTAACCTGCAGCAAGGCTTCTCTATGTTCCACTGACCGTCTGCCGACTCCCGCTCTGGGCCACGGCCTTGATTATTGAAGTTCTGCGTTCATTTGCGTGATGCGGCGCTGGCTTCCTCATTGCTTGGCTGTGCTTATGTGTATGTTCGCCCGTGAGAGCGTCTGAATGACTGACGAGTTCCTTACCTTTCTGCCAAGACTGTTTGTTCAATTAAAATCTCATTACACGGGGTGAGCAAAAGTAGGTTTACAGTTGTGAGTGTGGGAAACAGAGTTTATTCTTGTGTTATTTTCCATACCCACAACTGTGAACCTACTTTTGTTCCACTGTATTTATGAATTCAGTTGGGGAGAATGGGCACTTTTGCAATAACTAGTCCTCCGGTCTGAGAACAGGTTAGTCATCTCTTATTTTATGCTCTGCTGGGAGCTTCGTCATTTTCTTCACGTAGGTACTGCTTATATGTTTTTTGTTTTTTGGGTTTTTTTGCTAAGTTTATATCCAGATATTTGTCTCTTTGTTCCTATTGTGAATGGAATATTTTTTATTATGTTTCCCCAGTGGTGGTTGCTGATAATAGGGTATTGATTTTTATATGTTTATTTTGTAACTGGCCACTCATTGAATTTTATTTTTTGTCTTAATAGTTTTTTCTTTCTTTCTTTTTCAATCCTCGCCTGAGGATATTTTTTCCATTGCTTTTCAGAGAGAGTGGAAGGGAGAGAGAAAGAGAGAGAGAAACATGGATGTGAGAGAGAGACATCGACTGGTGGCCTCCCGCATGCACCCCGACTGGGGCCGGGGATTGAGCCTGCAACCGAGGTACGTGCCCTGGACCAGAATCGAACCCCAGACCCCTCAGTCCGTGGGCTGATGCTCTAACCACTGAGCCTAACTGGCCAGGGCTAGTAATTTTTCTTGTTGATTCTTTGCAATATTCAGGTAGAAAGTAAAAATTTGGAAGTAATGTTATTATGGCTATTTTTCAATAATTATATCAGTTTTATGTTCTTGGCTAGAACGTCTGAAAATGTATTAACTAATAGTGGTGACTGTAAGCCTCCTTGTCTTGTTCCAAATTTAGTGGGAGTGCCTTTACTGTCTCACGTTAGACATGCTGGTCTGGGGTTGATGTGCTTAGAGACTGAATTTATCACATAAAACAAGTATTCTTTCATTTCGATTTTAACTGAGAGGGGATATGGTTTGCATAGAGCTCATTAACTCCGGGGAGATGAAAACATTGAGCATCCCGGCATGTGTGCCTGATGATAGCACTCACAAAGTCCTATCTCTTCAACTTAGAATGCAGCCCATGTGGACCCAAGGTTCAGAAAAACCGGGCGCCCTACCCGGCCCAGTCTTTGCAACTCACTGGGTTGAAGCAACATGGGCTTCTCTTAACCAAAGCTTCAGAGCCGGTCTCAGGACATGGGCTCAGAGATTTCTGTTCCCGCACAGTTGCCTCTTTAGAAGCTGAATTTCTTATGCACGATTGAAGTTTTTACATAAACGTTTTTGGATGGGAGGAAAATGAAATGCGATCCCTGTGTTAGGAGAGCAGAGTTAGAGACAAGGCATCGGCAAAGCGGGAAAGAAAGGGTGCAGCTACTCGGGCGAAGAACAGAGAGAGTGAACTGGGAATTCCCCCAGCCTGGAAGAGCAAGTGCTGTTCTCTGCCCTGGTGACCACTGTCAGCTTTAGGTGTGAAAGGGAACACTCTCCGGTCTTCAGATTCCGCCTCATCCCGCATGTTAGTAGATCCGAGGAATACTTCACTGCAGCACCTGGTCTGAGCACAACCCTTGCATGAGCGTTACCGTTGCTTATGGTAGTTCTGACATACAAACTTTTGGGTGTTTGTTTGTTTCATTGCACTGATGCCCTTAGGATTTGTTAGAATTAAACGGTGGTACACAGTCTACAGTTTGTCCACCAGGCCTCGGAGTCCCGAGTGGCTTATTTCCTATTTAAAGGTCCAGGTAATTAGTGCCTGTTCTCAATGGTAACTGTTCTCTTTGTAATAACTTCTTAAATACTTTCATCAAATATTTATGTGAATTTGAAATTTTAAGACTTCTTTTCAAATTTAAAAACATGAGTTTTGTTTCAAAAGGCCCCAGAGAATACAGTTTTTAATCTTATCCCAAGACGAGCACCCATTTAAAATGTGCCCGGGTCCTTTAACCTTCAGAAGTGTGGGAAGCTGCCGATCTAACAGGACTAAGGGTCCAATCCCCGTCTTCCCAGCGTCTGTTACTCGGACAGTTTTAAAAACTCTCAAGAAAGAAAAATGTGGATTTATCCCTAGAAGACTGATCATTTCTCATCACAAGTCAAACCCCACCCCCACCCCAGTATGTGGCCATGTCCGGTTAGTCCCTCCTGTGCTTCTTTGCACTTTCAGCGGGAACTTTTAAAATTAAAAGCTTCCAAGGGCATTCACGGAGATTTGTGTGCTGTGGATCCTTCCAAAGCTTGGCAGTTACTTCCTGTGATGCGGCCAAAGTTTTCACAGGCAGATACCGTGACTCAAAATGTTTTTTTAATCTAGTGGGGAATGTCCTCTGGGCTTTAGAGTATCTATGTTTCCTTAACCATCCCAGCCTCCTGTTAGCAACTGTTAGACAAATGAATTTCACCTTAGAGTTTTGTGCATGACCTTCCTGCTATAATACAAGCGCTGGCAGTAACGAGACTAGCTTTACCACGTACGTATCCTAAGTATGGTATTAACTGCATTTCCTGGGCATTATGCTATAAAAAGATTATTTACCAAAAGTCTACAAGTGGCTGGCTTTTATTTTTATGTCTTTGTAATGTAGCTTAAGTCATTTCTGGTTTTGAGACTCAAATCAAGGATCCTGCCGGGCTCGTATATAGATCCTTAACTTCTCACGGTTCGGAAAGAGCATGAGGCTCAGAACAGGAACACAGGGTCCTGTGAATTTATGTACTGAATTCTCATTCAGAAGGTTTGCTTAAATATTATCCAAAACTCAGCAACAGACCCCACTTCTGAAAGTAGGGGGTGGGTATTCCTTCTGTGCTTTCTTTCTTTTGTGTATCGATTCCCAGGCCCTGCCACTGGGAAGTGAAGACAGGCCTATCGGAAGTGCCAAGGCTGGTCTTCGGAGGTCACTGGGAAAGGGGGGAGCAATAGCGAGAGAACATAATTTGGTCAAGCCTTTTGTGTGGCGAGGTCGTTCCAACCCAAAGCGCGGACCACACGGACGCCTCCCCGTCCCCCTCTGCCCCACAGGCCGCCCTGACCATCCAGGACAGCCACATCGCGATCCACCGGCTGCTGCTCCGGCCGCAGGAGAGCCTGTCCCCGGGCCCTGCTCTCCGAGGCAGCCCCTTTCAGGACCGCGGCCTGGAGCGGCGGCGTGAGGAGCTGGCCCACGCGCCCAGGCTGCGGCTGCAGCTCCAGCAGGAGCAGCGGCACTGGGAGCGCAGGTGCGACCGGCAGCGGCGGGAGCAGGAGGCCCGGGAGAGCCGGCTGCAGGAGCGC